TATAAGTATATTTAAATATCGAATATCAAGTAAATTAAAGTCTGCAAAGTCTGCGCTTAATTCTGATCTTTATGCTTCTTTCGATTTCGACATAACCTGTCACAGATTTCAGACGTGCAAATATTTACCGGTGTTATATTTTATTTTATTTCTGCTTTTATAAAATTTATAAAATTAAATTTTGATTTCACGAATGTTAAATATATAAACTTTAAAATTCAATAAAAAAAAGTTTGAGATATTTTTTGTTCTAATAATACTATACAAAGTCTAAATATAAAAATACAATCTAAACAATACATAATACAAGTCTGAAATTAATGCAAGATCCAGATAAGCGACAACAAAGAAAAATAAGCCAACATAGCAATAAATCCTGTTACTGCAACAAAACCACCACTAGTAACAAATGGTTTAGAAACATCAAATATATCACTATTATGTCGTCGTCTAATGATAGAAATTACAAGTAATGTACTTCCAATCACTACAAATATTACGCCGACGGAAAAGAAAGCTGGTTCAAATACTCGAAGGACAAATAAAGAAAAGGCGAATTGGGATAAGCTTGTTCGCCAATACGCCCCTTCAAATGTTCTTTGACGGGCTGATAAAAAAAAAAAAAAAAAGTGATATTAATAAACTAGATTCGTAGATGATGTTAAAGAAATTAAAGAATTTTTTTTTTTTTTTTTACCTCTGTTCGTTGTTCATATTAGTTAAAAGATAAAAATAAGAAAGTTTCGCATTTAATTTTACAATGATAGATCATTAATTTTACCTTATCTCGACTAACTCAGCATTTGTTAACTTTACTTGTTCTTCAATCTTGTCCATTATTAAATAGTTCCTTCGAAATAATCTTTATCTGTAGGACAAAGAACGATCAAATGGGATGATTCTGAAAGTCTAACCCTTTTATCATTTTTTTCTAATTCCCAATATAGTTAATCAACTCCTACTTAGTGTTACCTTATTTGCGTCTCTCAGGTGACTGTCCACGATTGGTAGTGTCGGTCTTTCGTCTTTACATTCTAACGCTAACATTTCTATCCTATCCTATCCTACGTATAAATTTTGTCTCATACAAATAACCCGTGACTCTGCAATACTGTGTGTTTGTGCAACATAAAAAACCGTATCAATAAATGATAACCTGTATCGCGAAATGTTATTGTTATAATATAAGTTATAGATATTATAGCAAGTATTTTAACAGATTTTATTCGATAGCTTATTATGATTTTGCTTGTCAAATATGTATACATTATTCTTCGGATTTTTTTGTATTTAGATAATTATTTAATGATCAAAATATAATAAAATTACCAGAAAAATCAATTAGTTTCATTCTGAGCCTCTATGAAAGAAGGAAAATTAAGGTCATTACAAACT